TTTTCACATAACTATGCAAAAATGGTATAAAATGTGTTGTCATCCGTTGGCATTGTTGTTAGCTTTTGAATGTAAAGTTTCAAATTTTGTGCAATTGTAGCAGCAATAGTATTAGTGGCAACCAGTAGCCAACAACAACAACAACAACAATTGAAAAGAGAATGTTCACCGGTTCTTGTACCGGGGTAGAGACGATGGGGTTGATGCTGTTACAGCAAAAACAATATTATACGCATATAAATTGCGATGGTGAAGTGTGTGCGTGAACGAGACAAAACACACATCCATAGAATAACACAAATTTCAATTTTAAAATATATTGAAATTATTGAATGTTTGTACAGTATTCCAAATGTGTTGTGTACACAAAGTCTAGCGACGTGTCCGTGTGTAATGTGAATCCGCAAATCCATTTTCGATTCAGTAATGCCATTAGCATTGGAATTATGTGAAACGAAACGAGAGAGCGTCGTCCAAAAGGTACGGACGAAAAACGGAGACAGAGACTAAGTGAACAAACTGCGACATACGGCTGCATAGTTACAACGTGTATACATTTGAAATGATTTTCATTTTGAAAATGGTCACATTGACAACAATCGAATCTCTTTCGCTCTTTCATACACACACTCACTCTCTCTAGCTCGTTTTCATCCTCGACTTGGCTTCAGTACAAATATCTCTGCGTCGTGGCGAATGCGTGTACACGTTGTTGTTGTACAAAGAATCCAATATACACTCGAATTCGCTCATTCACCGTTCATTCTAAATGCGCATAAATGTTGGTTTAATATCAATAATAGAGTAATTTGCTTAAAATATCTCTCATTCTCATTTATTCGTCGCATTTCGTTTGTTCCATGCACTGTTGAATGCTTATGCATTCGGACGTTGTTGTTATTTCATTTTCTCGGTTATTGCCGATGCAAATTTCTCGCCCTGATTTTGCCACCCTTTCCCAAATACAAAGCACACAAACACAAACACTACTTTAGCACATTGAAAACATACATTTTATTTGAGAAAAAAATATCCCAGCGAATATGCTCGATGTGTGCTTGTAATTTTCAATTGCCGCATGCATTTCGGCGTTAATGTGAACGATATAATTGACGAAGAGTATATATGATCGAAATTTGAATGCGTGTACTACATCAATTGAATTGGTTTACTTGATTGGCGCATTCATGCAAACTGCGTTGTTCAAAGCATGGCGCCGGTCAGTTTAACTAGCCGATATTCTTTTATTTGTCTCTCTCCTCTTCTTCATCTTCTTGGTTCAACTGAAAATCTCTGTGTTTATTTCGTGTGTTTGTTCATAAGCAAACAGAGGATATTTGGCGTTTACCCTCATCGCCAATATTGTGGTGATTGCCTAATGCATCAATCGACCCAACGGGCAAAACACAAAACAAACCAGATAGGTATATAAAGACCAAGAAACGCACAGAGAGAGAGAGAGACGGTGTATATGCGTAGCAGCGATATAACAACGTTTAAAATACAAAGCGATAGAAAGTAAATGAAATTATTCAATGCGTATGCATTTTTGATTTACGGTCATAATATGAATTGAATTTTGTTGGCAAGCGTTTCCTCTCGCCGGGCTCTATTATTACATATTTTATTAAAATGCTTTCGTCAAAATTCGAAAATGCCTTCCATAACATATAAACTAATGTTGTACTCATTTGAAAGCACACATTCCTATTGTATGTTGGACAACATATAGCATATTTTATATGCAAATGCATACGTTTTAAGTGATCTAGAAGCTTGGATGCATTTGTGGCGGCTTTGACTTCTGACTGTGCGATGCATAGTGATGCTAAGAGAGTGCGAAAGGAAGAGAGAGAGCGAGATGCAAAGAGAAGAAGGAAAAGAGAAAGGTCGGTTGAACGAAAATGAATGAGAACAAATGTGCGCGATACAATGGCCAATTCCAATGAAAATGCATTTGCATCAGAATGTGTACAGTGGCCTGTGTACACACAAAACATCGACCATATGTATGCTTAAAACCGAAATGAAACCATTTCAAAATTATTTTCTTTATTCGTTTCGTTGCATATTTCATTGTGAATGTATGTTTGATATGTATTTAGTTTACGTGACTTTTGCACCGTTTTTGTTCCAATGTTAAGGAAAAACTTTTCTCGTCAACGTGATGTGATTTGTTTCTTTTTCCTCAGCATCAATTGAAAATTGTATTCAATTTCGTTTAGCAATATATGATAAGGGGCAGATATTAAATGTTGAAGTTAAATCGTGAATGCTATCTCGTCCGATTCGGAATGCATCGAAGCACAAGAACGACTAAGTAAAATAAAAATAAAGAACAATGACAACAAAATGTTTTGATTTGTTATTGACATTATATTGTCTTTTTTCTAGCCAGATCGAACTCAATTTCCTGTGTGGAAAACAGCATTTGGACATATATATTTTTTTGTTATTCCTATTTCTCAAGTATACGAAAAATAAAGCATAAAAAACCCCAAGCCAGAAACCATTCCACATCTCATCAATCGGCCGACAATATTGTATTGTTCGTAAATAATATTCTGGCTCGATTTCATAAACAAACCAATGTCACATTGTTTGAAATGCTCAATTCAATGTTGACTCTCTATATCTGAGATTTGGTCTCTTTCGCTCGTATTTGACGATCGCTTGTCATTATGCTCTGTTGTTTGTCGAAACAAAAATGAGTGTGTACAGTTGCAGTTTTTTTTATATTTTGAAACGTGTCATTTATTTTACGTCATCAAGCTGAATGTGTATGCACGAAATACACAAAATTCGCATGAAAAACAACGACACAACTGCAAATCGATTCGCACCGAATATATCGTTTGCCATTAGTGCATATTAAACACACACACATATATATACAGTATACACATAATTTAAACCGAAAAAAACACAACAATTATTGTAGAATGGCGACAGATGCTCTCTAATAAGTGCTTTAAATAGCTTCATAGAAAATTGGAACAGTTCAAAATTTCATTAGACCAACGACCACCTGTTTTGCTAATAAATGAAATAATTAATGAGATAATTTGCACACACGCTGATGCATATCGATGCATCACATCTCATGTGTGGTGAGTGTGAGAAAGAGAGAAATTCACATTCATTTCGAATTGAGAAGAAAATGGTGGGGTGGTCAGGATATCGTAATAAAACCCACAAATGACTTGAAATTATTACTATTTATTTTTTGTTGTTGGTGTTGTTTATGTTTTTGTTTCGCTTAAAATGAAAACAGCAAATATACAAATGACAATCGACCGATGCCAACCATACTCGATTGGTCAAACTAACTAAGTCGCGCATATTGGATATGTGAATGTTTTTAGTTTTGGTGCCAACACACCAAAGAACATTTTCATATGAATCGTAACGTTATTTCGTATAATGTGCATCATTTCACATAGAACAGATGAAACAAAGCAGTCTCTATGCATTTACGATCCAATTTATTGTTGTTTTATTTTGCTGAATGAATATGTGAACTCTTTCATGAAAAGCTTGATAATGTGTGACATTTAATATTCGAATATGCATATTGAGCATCTACAATACAGACGAATATATAAAAACAAACGGAAAGATCTATATTATTAGTCACGGCATTTTATCACGATTCGCTACCAAATAATGAAATTGCAACGCCAAAAAGTTTATTTATTTAAATGATTTCATTTAATTGAAGAAAAAAAATTGGCGCGAGTAGCAAAAAAAGCCAATATTACATGTTCGTTATCAACATTAATATACTCTCATCCCCGTTACTTTCACAATAAACAATAGAAATGAAGTTCGCTGATGCGACAAAACACAAGCAATAATAAAACGTTTATTTCGGTTTCAATTTGTGGAGAGGTGGAAAATATTTTTGAAATAATAATTAAAAAAAATCGCACACAAACAACTGAAATTGAAATAATAAAAACAAAATTGTGCAAACATTTGGGCTCGCGACAAAGATAAACAATAAACTATTGCGTTCGAGCGCAATTTTATTCGGTGAATTAAAAACACACGCACACCGATGATCATGGTGTGTCGCATAAACGAGATACAGGGTGAATATAAAACGGGAATTTAATACACGGCATTTGTATTGTTAAGCCTTTGTATACGGTGCAATTTGAATATTCTATATTGAATTTTTGTTGGAGATGTGTTTTTTTCATTATGTTTGCTGTCTGTCTATCGTATTGGCTTTATAGTTTTTAAACAATAAGTTCTCTAATTTTTTCTTCTTTGGTTGATTGGTTGTTGCTGTTATTATTGCCAGGCTTTTCAAAAAGGCTTCTGGGCTTGCTTTTATAGTATAGTTTCTCTCTATATTTATCCGTTTATCTATACCAATATATCAATATTTATATCAATTAATAATGTTTATGACATAATTTTGACCAAATGAAATATTTACAAAAATGTGAATGCAACGCGGTATATGCGCCACGTATCTATCCATTTCAAATTATATTATTCGAAATATCTAAAATGAGATGGAGAATTTTGACAATATGCAATTGAATTTATGCTATATGGAATTTATATCACACACACGCAATATGCTAAATATATATATGAATAAGTTGATAATTTTGTAGCAAATCAAACGATACATCGAAAACCCACGCTAAAATCATTTCTGTGCTTTTGAATGCTTATGCAAGCTTTCAGCTGTTTTCAATACATCCGTCTAGCTCAACTCTTATATTATAAATTTTGTTGTTGAAAATATTTATTTTTGCTGTCCCCCCATTGTCCCTTCCAAATCCCCATTATTACCTCACATTCACATTGATATTATAATGTAGCTTTAATTTATAACCAATTTAAATTCCGTTAAATTTTTGTTGTTTTTATTTTGTTTTAGAGAATGATCACTTCATGCAAACAAACAATACAACAAAAAAAAAGACTTTAAAACATTTAAACCAACCAATTTTTTTCTCTTTTTTTCTTGATTGCAGAACGATAAAGTAAATGAACATTTTTACGAAGAAAAGAACTTGATCATAGCAAACAAAAAATAAATTTGATATGAAATTTGTGTTTTAAAAAGATTGTGTGGCGAAAAAAATTAGTTCAAACGTGAAAATCGAAAAATCAAACACGAAAAACTAAACACAACACACATTGAGAAAATATGTTCAATAATAACTATGTATGTAATAGCAACCAAATCAAATTAAGTATTGTCCCGGCTTTATTTGGCAAGTAGAGTGCATCAGCAGTGCAGCTTTAATACATATATTTACTATATATATCTATCTAAACAATACAGACAAAATATACGCAATTTTCTTGCACAATCTACTCCGTGGAAAAGAAAAACGAAATTCGCATCAAACTTATTTTTGAAACACACACACACAAACTCACACAGGCAAACAAATACTGCAACTGAAAATCAAATCGCTGGATTGCGAGCATTCAAAGTAAATCGGCCATCTCGTGCTGACACATCGCTTTCGGAATTGTGTTCTTTTATTTTCGCTGCTAATTTTTCAAAATCGTAGCGAGCGAAATCAAACGGACGGAAAAAGACAAGAGTAAAAAAACCAGTACATAAAAAAATGCAGTGCAATGTAAACAATGCCGTAAACTGATTGACAGAGAACCAATCGATGATTGAAAATTGACAAGAGAACGCGAAACAGAATCCCGACGTCAAAAATCAAAGTGAACAACTAACAAAAAAAAGAAGAGACAAAGCATACACACAACTACACATACACACGTGAACGAAATAGTATCTGCAGCCATCGTAAGAGTTTTATGTTGTATTTTATATTTCGTATTTTGTGAATGAGTGAGTGCGTGGTGAAAATTCGCTTGAAACGTTTTCTACATTTCAACCGCCAGCCACACTGAATCAACCGAAAACATCCGACCGATACTCTTCCATTTGGACCCACAGCAAGTGTAAAAGAGAAAGCAACAATCCTCGCATTTGAAAACTTCACCGCAAAAAAAAAACAATTTCACTCGACGGAGCGCGAAAAAAAACATAAAAACCAAGCGCAAAAGAAACACAAAGCGACAGAACAGTCAAAAAATCCCAAAAGCGCTGAACACAATCCATTCATTTGGTGAAAAATATATACTTAATGCGACTTTTTCTAGTCCCCATTTGCCATAACCGATAAGTTTCTTAGTGTGACTTTTAATTGACAAACCCTTCTTCCTCCCCCTCCAATATATAAACCAAAGAAGAGAGTGACAAACGAAATTAAAAACCGTGAAAGTGAGTCGAAAACAACAAACGGTTTGAATCGAAATCCAAACGAAATAAATCATTTGAAGTTTTCACCGATCGAAGATTGCGGAAACAGTAAAATTGATTCCAGCGATAACGAAACAAAAAAAAATTATTCATCGTCGAGTACACGAAATAAAACATACAAAACGATAAGAAAAGACCACAAACAAATAAAACATCGATCAATTTTGTGATATATTTTCAAACAACAACAAAAAAGTTAAAGTTATTTATTAAAATTACAATTCAAAAGGAATTAAATTACAGAAACGAAACGTTTTAGAGAATCTAGACTACGAAAAGAGATTAATCATCACTGTGTAAAACAAACGAAATGAATTGAGTTGAAAACTCGACATTACAAAAAACGACGCAGAAAAATCGAATCAAACTGGTGATAAATAAAAAGTAAAACAAACAATTTTATTTTCGAGTACGGGACAAAATACATACAAACACATAAACCTCTAATCAAAGTTAAATTCTTTGCGTACGTGTAAAACAAAGAAAGAAAAAAAACAAACACAAGCTATTTCAAGAAGGCATCCGTATAATGGCATCAATGGTCAACATGAATAATCTATTAAATGGTAAAGATTCGCGTTGGCTTCAATTGGAAGTGTGTCGTGAATTCCAGAGAAATAAGTGCTCACGACCGGATACCGAATGCAAATTCGCTCATCCACCGGCCAATGTTGAAGTGCAGAATGGACGTGTCACGGCTTGCTATGACAGCATCAAGGTAATTATATCATCATTTTTTTCAAATCAATAAAAATGTTTAGCTTAAGTTTTTCGTTTTCCCTCCAAAACAAAACTGAAAACAACAACAACAAAGCAATTGCTATTGAATTTTAAATTGATAATGCATACGCATTGATTTTATGTTTAGTTTATGCTTTCATCATGCTTCCTATATTGCCGATATGCTATTGCACAATATTTTTCGCGCAGAGTGACATAGATGTTTGATATGTATGGGAGTGTGGGTTGTGTGTGTGTGCAGTATTTTGAGCAGCATAATGCATAATTGCTGAAATGAATTTCATATTGAAATGGCCAACTCGAAATACGGTAGCACACCACCACCAACAACAATATATATACTGTTATTCAAAATAGTTTTGCATTGCATTCGGCTAACATGCTTTTATGGTTTAATTTTTAATTAGATGATAAGAATAATTTTGTTGTTTGTTTTTCGGGAAGTTTTTGTCTGGATTTGAATATGGCATTTTACTTGTGATTCCCTCTCCAACACTGCTATCCATCCACAATGAATGAATATATTTATATACATATATATCAAATGAATTAACAATATGCTTTAAATTGCCTATGGTGGCTGTATGCAAAAATTCGCTCTGCTTTTATTTGTCAACTTTATGTCTTCCCATTCCCATCTATTTACACGGCGACGCGTTAGTGTGGTTTTGCACATTCGTGGACGCTTTTTATTATATATAGATAAATTAGTATTTAAGCAAGCTAAATAGATTAAAATTGTTGTAATCGTATTTTCAGCATAGTTTAAAGTAAAATTTCGTCTCTTTCTCTAGCTTGAACAATAAGAAAAATGAAAGAAAAAAGTCCAAACGAACTTTTTCAAATGGAAAATAATCATATTCCATTTGATTTATAATCTAATAACAATGGTTATTTGGTTATTTTTGCTGCATAGGGACATAAAATTCTCAAAACAATGCGATGACATTTAAAATCAATTAATTTTGAATTCAAGTCGACAGCCATCAAATTGCATATTCCACAAATAGTCAGACTAAGTTGTAAAGGTTTAAACTCAAATTTATAAATATTTACTCAAACGATTTTGTTGAAGCAAAAAAAGATATTTGCTCAATTATTTCTGAAACACCTTTCAGTGATGAAACAACCCAATAACAGGTACATTTCAATTTTAGTCATATATTCGCATTTCGACATGTGCAGTATTGTTAGTGAATTTCGATAATTTTTATTTTAAGTCTTCTTTTTTTTGCATTTCACCATCAATACGAAATAGTCTCAATTAGTATTTGAATATGATACACCATAGATAGGGATTGAATGATAAAAAGTAATTAACGAAATACAGTGTGATTGCGACCGATTTGATAATGTAATTCAAACAGAGACGTCAAAACATTGTATAGCCATATGAGTAGACTCACATTTCGAATTCAACATACACGTTCGCACAGGCATTTCACTAAACCGGATTGAATATATGTTGTTAATAAATTGATATATATATATGTATAATATGTCTAACGATTCAATAGTAACTACTGTATGAATGTTTATTCGATAGAGAGCAGAAAATTGCATTTAAATTGATGTGAAATTCGGTGAAAAACGCTGCTGATGTTGATGATGACTGGAATTTTTTTTTTATATATACAATCAGGTTTCGGTCGATTTTTGCTGTACGATTTTCATTTCAACATTTGGAAAATGGGTTTATATCATTCCACTTTAAAAAAAAACATTTGACGCAAAACAAGAAGAGAATAGCGAAACAGCGTTATCAATTGCAGTACAAAGCACACACATTGTGATACAGAAATACGCGGTTAATTTTTGGATGACTGATGCTCATCCCAATACTCTAAATGCACGGTCAAAAACAAATACTTCAATGAGTTTTTGGTCGGTGTATAAAGAGCACTTACGGCTGGAATGCTCGATTTGAATTTGAATTTTTATGCCCGCCATCACCACCAAGCTACTGTTATATCCCCTTTCTCTCTCATTCATTCGCCTCATTTAGTGCATTTATTTATACCAATTTAATTGCCATTTACCCACCAATCAAATACAAAACAAACAAACTCGAACATCGCCGGTATCATTTAATTTGATTCGGTGTCAATGCGCCCGCAATACCAAATTATTATTTTCTTTAATTAACTTTCCATTTTTCGCTTCTGGTCAATGTGCAATGAAACCCCCTTGCCTCTCATTGTCCGGACGCGCATCGTTCTATCTGATGTGTGCGCACGTTACATGATTTTCCGCTCTGGTTACATTCATGTGACACATGTGTGAGTGTATTTGTGTGATGCCAAAATAATTATACAAATATTTTTGTAACGCACGACCATTGAGTTCGTATACACATTTCAGTAATGTGTGTGATTTTTGCACCTTTGAAGTGGTGTTCAAATCACCCAAAAATATCCATTTATAAACGAGAATTTATCGATTGATTTAAGCTGCTTTATTTGTTGTGTGTAATTTTTGCCCAATCGAGCGATTATCACATTTTCCCCTCAATCATAATGAAACAACATGCAAAATAGCTTTCGATGGATTTTTAATCGTAATTTTTGGTTTTACAAGCTCTCTCTTATACCACCTTCTGAAATCAAATTACCCGTCCTCTACATTTTATTTCTCTCTCACTCAACTCATGCACTCAAAAAGATACATGTATCCGTAAAAAATAGCGGCATGTGTGTAGTGTGTACATTATTATAATGTCATTTGTATGCGATTAAGATTGAACAGAGCAAATGGATCTAAACGATGAACGTGAATTGAATTGAACGAAACTAGCAGTGAAAGAAGCATAAATGAGTGGGTGATTGCGATCAAATCGGTGGAAAGAGAGAGAGAGGCAGAGATACTAAATGAGAATGAAAATAACGCATACAATAATCCATTAATATATTAGGACGTGTGTACACAACACACACACACAAATGCAAAACGAAAATATCTTTGCCAATGCATTAGTGCTCTGAAAATGAGTGAGTGAGTAAATGAATGCAATGGCAAAGTATGTTTCATGTTGTAAAATGAGTGAGCTTATTGCATATTCTCTCGTTTGTGTAATAAAATTCCCTGTGAGTGAAACCGCATGGTAGCGGGATCATTGAAATGCATTTACACAAAAAGCGGCTTGCAAAGTAAGCGAGCATGCAAAAGGATGTGAGAAAGAAAAACATACACATGAAGAGAAATGGAGAGAGAGAGAGATTTTGTCTACATAGTGATGAAGATAGAGATAGGAGACAAATAACCAACACCCAGTGAAGAGAGAGAAAATATAACGAGACAAGAAATGGAATTGCATTGATATGATATGGGATGCAACTCGAAATAATTTGTTTGACAAACCCGACAAACGACGAACAAGGCAATGGCAATGACAACGGCAAACACACACACACACACACCGTAGTATATTATGATTCAAAAACAACAACTGCATCAAATGGTTTCGAGGCAACGCATGTGCGGCAATAATAGTACTTGCCGTGCACAAGAGCACTTAATTTATAACTGAGAAAATCAAAGGGGGAAAAGTGTGTATTCTATCGTGCGCGCATTGGCGCTCGCGCTCATTCTCGTTCACACACACACAATCAGATTTACCTTGTTGTGCGATATGAAAGAAGTGGCTCTTTTTCGGTATTATCGTTTCACAAGCTTGTAGCAAGAGTTGCATGATTGCGACTTGGTGTCGAATAAACAACAAACTTTCTGGCAAAAGTGAATTTACGTGCTGACAATTCAAACATATCCATATATTCTCGTTCTCTCTGTCTCGCATGATCTAAAATAGACGGAAATACCTGTGCTTGAACGTCAAACCGAAAACAGTGATGCCATGAATTTACAGGAGCCAAACTATAATCGCATATACAGTACAAGCGAGAGAAGTGCATGCATTAAAAGAAATCGGATAACAGGTTTGCTTAAGCGATCTTATCAAAAGCTGATATGCTTACTTGCATTGATAAACTAAACCAATTTTATCTGTTGGTGCTGAGCAAGAGAGAGATAAAGAGAATTTACGCCATTTGCGTGTTTCGCACAAATGTAAATCCGCTCTCGCAAAACGGAAGAAAAACAGAGTTCGAGAGACTGAGCAAGAGGCAAACGAGAGATGACTGTTTAACTGCATTGATCAAATGTGTGCACCAGATTTGCATACCAACATTCACATTTTGCAATAAGAGTGCATGAGGTGTGCGCGGTGCGCCAAAAACAACACAAACCAAACAACATTACTTTTGTAACAGTCTGTTGTCAAAAATATCAGCCTCCCCAATCGCATCCAAAGTGAGATATAGAGATTACTAATTAGATTAATGAGATAGAAATAGAGAGAGAAAAAAAAACGTATCAGTTCCTTTTTTCTCTTCTCATATTATCTAGTTATTTACTAATAAATCAATTTCAAAATGCAATTACGCCCCAAATGGATCAAATGATGCAAACACTGTCGGTTTGATTCTCTCTCATCCAAATACATATAAATATATATCGTCGAATTGTTGTATTGAAACAAGTGATTCGTGATTCGTGATTCATTAAATGAAACGTGTAATTTTGTTAAATTACGCCCCGATTGCATATATATATCAATGTGTACGAATACAATAAAGAGAAGAAACTGTAATAACTACTACTATTGCAATTGATATGCATAATCAAGAAAGTGGAACCTCAATGTGCACCATGCAAAGGCACACATACAATGGCCTCTCGACAATTTGGCCATTCATTGACTTTTCAGTATTAATTAACCCAAAGAAATACTAAACACACAGATTCAACCGCATCAAATGGTTTTAATAGAATTTGCTTCGGCAAATGTGCATTCCATGTTTTTGTATCATCATCTCCATCTAAGTTCGATCTCTCACTTTTCAACGTTGCGAGAATAATTGTTCTGAAGCGTCAGTACTTTGTAATGACTTATATGATATGATTTGCCCAGCTGAGCAATAT